TGTGCACATCTATCCGACACGTCGCGTACAGTCCACAGCGTTTATCACAATCATCACTATCACAATCGCGAAGCATCTTTTGTAATAAAATGTTAGTTAAATTTTATGAGCACAACCATCTAATAAATTTAATTGTTTTAAATAAAGTTACTCCTGACCATCATAATAAAACAATGTTTTAAAAACTTATGCATTTTTGATCTCGTTTAATTTGGTTTATATTAAAATAACATGTTGTAATTAATATAACGACAAAATTACATGTACTTAGTTTGAAATAAACTACAAAAAATATGACTGTCCTGTTCTGATGCTACCCGACATTACAAAATGGTGTAATTTTACGAGCAAAACTATGGAATAAATTGTTAATTAAATTTTATGAGCAAAACCGTGTAATAAATTGTTCCAATTTTAGTGTATGTACCGCCGAAGCGAGTACAATAAATTGTTAGTTAAATTCGTTTCATCAAAAATCGTATTCCGGTGTTTTTGATTAATTTTCTACCAAACCATTAAAATTAATTTTTTAAATAAAAACTAATTAATTTTTAATCACAGTTAATTTGGTTTATATTAAAATAAGTATGTTGTAATTAATATAACGACAATAATACATGTAGTTTGAATAAAAATATGAGTGTCCGGTTCTTTTGTCTTCGACTGTACTCGATGCGACCAGACGAAAATCTGGATGGGGATCGCAGAGCGTCGGGTAGGTTAGCGTGGCATAAGCATCGGGTAGATGTGCACGGGGGTAATACAACCTTATGGAAAATCGGAGTTTGGATATGCTTCGGGTTGCATCGGGTAGTGTCGTATGGCATAACATCGGGTAAGTGTGTTCCTGGCTTTAGGGTGGTGCGGCCAGCTTGTCAGGTGTTGATCCTGGCTAGAAAAAAACATCGATAGAAAAACACCCATGATACCATCGATGGTAATACACATTGTACCATGGTACTGGATGATTTTTTGAGTACTCATTACTCAAACCATAAATTATTTTCATATGCATAAATTATTAAGTGCCATTTTATAAACATAAGCTAATTTTTCGAACTTCGCCATTTCTGAGCGCTATATTAGGAGCTTGATTAATAAAATGATGTTTGTTATTTTAATAACATTTGTTAGGAATTTTTTGGCCTTTGGTTCCATTTATGGCTATAAGAAGATCTCTCGGTCCCTTTTGAATGAAAGACGTCTACTGTTAAAGTATTTTGTGTCTGTGAATTTTATTCAAAATACCTCCCTGTTTTTTCTTAGTTACTTCGGAAAACATCCATAATCCACCCAAGCCCAATTCCAGTCCCTTGCTAAACAAAACATCATCTAAAATTAATTTATACGAATTTTACAATAAAACACTACCACGTCTTCTCTGCAACAGAACTTAAAAAACGTAGCTTTAAAACCGAGTGATTTTTCGTTTCCGAAATAATCTGTCCAGTTTTGGAAAATAATCGTTTAGAGGGAACAGATGTGCCAAATGAGGCACAAATTGAACAACTCCTGCCAGGTTCGGATAGGTCACTTTCGTAGCAAAAGAATATGTGTCATTCCCTATTCACAAAGTGAAAAAGCGAAATTTACAAAACATCGACTGCCTACTATCGATGGTCAAAAAAACGTCGACACAGTAACATCGATGGTGAAAACATAGAACATCAGTTGCCTACCATCGACGCTCATCCGTAATCCTGGCAGGGGTCTCGGCTCCGGGACTGCCAGGATCTCTTGATGTCTGTGATACCATTGACTCAGGAAAAACGTAGACGATACACCCAAAAACGTACACGATAGTGGTATAGACCGCTGGTGGTTCGGTCTTTTGGGCTTCCGACAAAATCAAGATTGTTTGTTTGACAATGGTTTTTCATTTTAGATTGTCATTATCTCAATAAAGGTCCTAATTTAAGAAAATATATTGCATTTTCCGGCATGCTCGTTATGAGGTCTAATAGCTTTGTTTTTCTCGCCTTATCTGATGCACATCGCAACGAACTGGGACAACGATGATGACACAGTCTGTTGGGTTTTTTGTTGAAATTTGGTACAACTCTAAACGAAAGTGAAACATCGGATTCGTATGATGGATGTGGACGCAAGGTGGGCGACCACGTGCTTTCTTCATCTTGCAACAACGCAGAGCAGGCCCCATCACGATCTACACCTATGACATTTATGCCGGACCGCACTGGCCTCTTGCTACCAACGCCTCTTATTTTTGACCCCTTAACCTTACCGTATGCGATTTTTTATCTGGATAAAACGAAACAGCACGTAACCATATCGGTCGTAACTATCTGATTTAATTGAAGATGTCTTCAGGTATAATTTACTTGAAAAAGCCGGCATTCCGTGTTGCATAAGGATTCTCGAGATTCGAAAAACAGGGCCGATTCAACTCTCATCGCCCAAGGTGTAGGCTGGCGCTGTCACTCACACTGATTTATGCTCAAACTTTTAACATCACTTATGGATATTTTTTCTTGTCAACACAGATTTACAAAAAGAATGCATATGCATATCAATTTCTAATAAAGCAGATCAGTCAAGAGCTTTACTCGGTATGTCAAATATCACAATTTTTCTGGATTGCTTTTTTTAAGTTTTCGAACTTTGGTACAAATTTAATTTTTTTAGTAGCTTTTTATTATTAGTTATTCGAATTTATAAATAGAAAAGTATAATAATTGAAATGTTGACGTAACTTTTCTTTACGTCCAAAAAGGTATATAGCATTTAAAAGGAAATGGTTTCCTTTTCGACTTTATCAGATATAAACAATCTGTCAAGCGCAATGACTTACTGGAATATACATTTTTGCCAAAATTTGACTTATCCAATTTGGCCCGGAGGGTGTAGAAATATACTTAGATATACATATATCATATTCCAATTAATTATTCTTTTTATCTAAAGTTTTTGGTAGAGATGAAAATTTAGTGTCACGAGCGGGATTCGAACCTTCTGCTGATACGGTGCTGCTCAACCCATTTGAGCTATCGTGACTTCGATTGCCTCGGACTTCAACTCGCAAACCCAACCTACAACCGTTCTATTTTTCCCTGTTTTTGTCATATTTTCAAATGTCAGGATTCGGTTCTTAGCGACTTATGAAGTGGCTACGGGGAGCTGTTAGTGAAATAATTACTTCTTTTTAATTATTAAATTAATCCATATTTGCTTAGTGGTCATAATTGACCATTGAATTATTCCAATTAATTATTATTTTTATCCAAGTTCGAATCCCGCTCGTGACACTAATTTTTACATCGCAACCAAAAACCTTAGATAAAAAGAATCTTTATTATGGTCCATAATTACCACTAACCAAACTATTAAATTTTGTATTAAAAAAGCATGGAAATGAGGAAGGAGTTTCGTATTAACTTAATTCAAGTTAATTAATTATTCTTTCTATTTAAGGTCTTGTTTGAGATAAAAAAGTCAGTGTCAAGAGGATTCGGGATTCGAACCCACGACTTCGGCTAACTACGCCGCTAGTCTTGCTCTTGAGCTCTCGTGACTTCTACTTAATTCAAGTGAAAAACGGACCGCGGTGTTCGACTCGAATTCACGCAAATGATTTTGGGTTCGAATCCCGGCACAGCTCATGGAATTGAAATTGATAATAATATGAAAAAAGTATTGTCAAAGCGGTACCAACCCTTCATCCATGACACCCAACAAGTAGTTGGACGTTAAGCCCTCCTTTCTGACAAGAATTACTTTATTTAAAAAAAATCAATTCTTGCACACAAAAATCCTTGAAAATTTGACCGCCCTGCTTCTTATAAAGTATAGGAAATTATTTTAATATTGGACAGACTGTCATAATTTATCGGCTCAAAATGGAATTAAACTATTTTCCATTTCTCAGTTAGCCGTGTTGTATGCAGCTGGTAAAAGTGTTCAGCTGCAGGGTGGTACAAGAAACTATGCCATTGTTCTTCTCGTGTTGCGGTCGACGTCTGGATTAAGGGGAAGGCCTGAGGCCACGTTGGAGGTGGCCGTACGATAACGGTCGGTGCGAAACTACTGAGTAAAGATTGGCAATCATCGCAATCATCAACTGCCGACCTCAATTTCCGACCTTTATCTCCGACGGAACCGCCCTTTGGGTCCGGTATCAATCACGCAACTCTTCCAATCTACGACGTGTGTTGGGTTGTTATTCTGACTATTTTTGTGGAATAACAATGAATAAGATGAAACGCGCAAAGTTTATAATGGATCATTAATTAATGCATTAATGACAGTCATAAATTTGGAATCAATTAAAGTTAATAACTATGAACGTGAAACCCTCGAAAATGTCTTAGTAACCATTTTGGCTCCGATGGTTTTGTTAAATAATTAAATTAGTTAAATAAACACAAATATAAAGATATTGAAGAGACAGACAGATGTGTGTGTGAGAGAGAGAGAGAGAGAGAGAGAGAGAGAGAGAGAGAGAGAGAGAGAGAGAGAGAGAGAGAGAGAGAGAGAAAATAAGAAGCATGATTACCGATTATTTGAATATTTAATTAATTAAAAATGATTTACTGTAACAATTTATATTCGTGGAAAGAAGTCGATAACTTATCTTTGGTTTTCTCCCCTGAAATCGGGATTTTTCCCAAATTGGCGAATGCTAAACAGTTTTCACTGGTATTTTATCCAGAACATGAAAGACAGGGGTAAAAAGCATTTGACGTGGGATAAACGTTTCGTCTAAACTTAACTCTTGTCTACCACAGAACCAAAATTAGAAGGAAAAATCTTACTTTTTAAGCTGTATAAACAGGATTTATGTCTGTGACGAGTTTTATTTAATTCTATGTACACCTGGATGCAGTGCATAATTTACGATTAATTAATGGTGAATTGATACTATTTGCTCGTTGTCAATATCTTTCAACCCGACGTGTTCGAGTACTCACGTACCATTAAATACTATGATGTTTGTCAGGAATGCAGTCAACCTTCACAAAAGCACAGGTTTTGGCTGCTATGAAATTATTCGTTATTTTGCTAACAATAATATTGATACTCATCAATGAGTCCTTCTCCACTAAATCTTTAGTAAAAGGCGAAAGATTTATTCGTTATGAAGAGAGACCAGAGTTTTTATTTTATATAGCCGTCAAAATATGTTTATGTGTTTTGTAGGAGTGAGCGTATTTATTAGATTGAATGGGGAGGGGCTGATGGTGGAATAGCATCCCCACTCTCTTCGAGCTGAGTACGTACTTGGGTCGATGGCGGAAAATTATAAAAGTACCCCATCGACCACAATTAGTTAGTTTATGATTATTCGGAAATCGTGAGATGCGGTCTGGTGTGACGTAGGTTTCAGAAAAACATTTTCTTTACCTTGCCAACGTTCCGATCTTTATTGAGATCATCTTCAGGGCTCAAAGTGTTTGTTTTATGAGTAGATGTGTCATTTTTGTGGGTCGTGGTGAGAGTGCCAGTGAGGAACCTCCATATAAGCTTATGCTTATAGTACGTTTCTGGAAGAGCATACAAGTAAGAAGAACAAGCAAGCCTCTAAAGATTGGGTCTCTTCTTTAGAGGTTATAAGGACCTCCATATGACCTCTAAAGACGATCTCATGTCCGAAATTTAATTTGCTGCAGGTCGATAAACATCCAAAACAAGCAAGCTTCTGCTGTGAATGAGTTAGCTCAAAAGTATAATTTCAGTGGCTAAGTGGATAAAAATTCGACACATTCAAGATGAAATTTCGGTGGTTAACCGGATTAACGGTCAATGTCGTTGGTTTGGGTACTAAACTCATCTTCAAATTGTCTCTAGGATGAAGTGTATATGCCCAGCTCCCGTACGTCCCTCGCACGAGTATTCCCCACGTACCATTATCGAGCATAACGACCGATTGGTGACGAACATTTACATAATCTCTACCGTCAAAGCCCGCAACCTCTGCCTATACGGGTGCCCCTCGGGGATCGGGTAAAAGAAGCGACGAAACCGACCCAGTGAAGATCAGTAGTAAATACAGAAGCAGAATCTCGTCCGATCAGATCCTGGGGAAACGGGGCTAGCTGTGTAGTGGCTGTTTCAGCTGAAGGCCGTAAGGTCCTATGAAACTAGTTCAACCCCAGGAGGGTGAGCTCGGTATTTTAATGGTTGCCTGTTCCTGGGCTAAATCCAGAAATGTGGAGAAGGGTATTACTTTGAGCGGCTCGCTTAGGATGGTCTCATCTGGGGTGTATTACAACCTGAAAAGGTGAGCTCCATTAAGTAGGCAATATGAGCCCCATATACTGCCAATGTGTAAATAAAGAAAATTACCCTTTTATTACACTTTACACCACTTTTATGCATTTATAATGTTTTTCACCTAATGGCCAGAAATATCAGCAGCTTGTGAATTGTCAGATAACTTTTTAAAAAAATTACTAAGCTTAAAAATTCTATTTAGAAGATCTTTTTTGAACCAGTTGCTGACACATCAAAATTCTCTAAGTACTAGTAATGAAGAAATTTTGGGAAAACTAACGGACAAAATAAACATAGTTTAAATATAGTACTGTTCAAAAGCTATATCTAATATTAAGAATTGAAAAGTTGAATTTAAAAAAGAAGAACATTATTGAAAATTTGTCCCCTTTAGTTGTTGTAGGCAGGACGCTTAGGCACTTGCTATCATCGGCATTTTTTGCTATGCGTTTCTTTTTTCCTTCTGTTCCATTTTCATTTCATTATCTTTTCTTTCTTCACCGGGTTTATCTTCAGCTCTACTATTTCTCATTGTTTTTAAATACAGATAGCTGCGTACCTAGCGTTTTTACCTTTACAAAATATAAAATCGAATGTATGAATTTCTTCGTAGAGAAGTTTCGATCGGTGTATCAATGAAGTGAAGTAAAAACAAAAAGTAAAATAATTTCTATATTACAAGAATTAAAGTCTAGTGTCTCGGCCAGACCAAATTTCAGTTTATTCTACAATAAAATTTCAAACTTCAGACAGGGAAACGAAGCAGAACCACTATCATGGCGGGTACGATAGTCGTACACACAAAGTCAGGTGTAATTAGTGTGTGATATATGTTGTGACCTTCTGAACTTGAAGGGTCCCACGGAAATGTTTACTACGTTTTTAAATGCGTATAACGCGTCCCAAACTGACAATGGCTAATGGTCTAAATCGTAATTACTTCTGGTAATGATCTGCGGGTCTTTTCACCGCCCCTGACCACCCTGAATCCTCGGCATTGAACGCTAACCCTTTGACGCGAAAACAATCGCCAAACCCGACGTTATTGAGATTTAAACAACGGGACCCGTGATGGGATCCTTTTGTGAAACCGAGGCCAACTCGCATTTCTTTCTACTGAGACGGAAAGGATTTTGATTATTTTTGCCCCTGTTACGAAACGGGGAAGGGCCGGCAAAAACCCCCGTCCTTTTTTTTAACGGAAATCGGTGAAAAAATGCCGACCGACGTCTTATTAACTACCTATCAAAAAGGGTTGTGAAAGGCCGACGTGCCCTACGTGCCGCGCAGGTCTTCGCATTCAACAGTAATGGGAACAATAAGAGTGTTGCTTCAACCCTTACCCAACAGGCCTCTCGAGTGGCTGTTAATTGAATGCCGTCTTCACACGACTGCGTTTGCTCAAAAACCTCGAGTTTCGTGTCATAACATTACTTCTACGCCGTTCATAAAACCCGTTTCAGTCCTGAGAATAAAAAAATCATTTTTGATCGCCATCAAATCCAAACTTGATCGCCTACAGTGATTCACAATTGTCCTTTTCTTAGAAAACTACTATCTGCACTAATAATACTTAACTTAATAGTGTTTATCTTAACTAACAATATTGGATGACTTTTTGAATGAGTATTTTGTAAGAAAAGCAAAAATTTAATCTCAAAGTATTCGATTTTTACTTTTCTGTAATAAACACTTTTTAAAAACTTAATATTAATTTGATTGCTAGATTTAGTCTTTATTATTGTGGTCCAGATGGAGTCAAGATAAAGTACTTTCTACTAGGCAATGTTTTATTTTTCAAATAGTAAAGAAAAATACAGGGTGTTCGGCTACTCGTGTTACAAACTTTGCCCATAAATTCTACATTCAAAATGTAACTAAAAAGTCCAAATTAACTATGGTCTGAATCTCAGCAGTTTCCGAGTTATTCCAATTTTTCTCTTTTTTTAAGATTTCAAGACAGTGCTTCAAATAAACAATGGTAACTCCAAATCTAAAAGATTTTGGACAAATCCGTTGATATCATTGAAAACTGCGTTGTTTAAGATGTAATCAATACTAACTTTAAACCTTCGTGAAATAAGTGAGTGAAAGTATTCCATTTCATATCCTTTTTAGAGGTGTTCATATGCTTTTTAATTATTTTTAAGTAATAAATTCATTTAATAAAATTATTCAAAATTTCCTTAAGTTTTTTGTTTTTTATTATTATTAATCTTTTCCTTCAACTACCGTTTTTTTGTTTTCCTTCATCAATTTCTTCATCTTTGAAAACAGAAATTAAAAAAGCAATTGCACCACTAAAAAGGATATTAAATGGAGTACTTTTTCAGAAATTTGCTGGTCTCTTGGTTTGGAAATAGTAGTTTAGAATCACCATAGTAAGTTTTTCAACTTTGAAAAAAAAAATTTTTTTTAATACTAACTCTTATTTCACGAAGGTTTACAAGTTTAGTAGTGATCACATCTGATTGGAAATTTAACGCAGTTTTCATGGGTTTCAACGGATTTGTCCAAAACCTTTTAGATTTGGAGTTATTGTTTATTTGAAGCAAGGTTGTAAAATCTTAAAAAAATCAGAAAAAGTGAAATAACTCCTAAACTGTTGAGATTCGGACCATAGTTAATTTGGACTTTTCGGTTCATTTTTGAATGTAGAATCTACTGGCAAAGTTTGTAACATGAGTAGCCGAACACCCTATATAGACAATTTTGGTGAAAAATATTTGTAGTGCAGTGTGAAAATGAAATGGTGGCTAAATTTTATCGAGGGAAGATTTTCTATGGAAGGCGAAGAAAAATGTTTCTCAGACATAATGCTTTTAAGTTTCCATTCAAAATTATCCAGTAAAACTTTCAGTAGAGAGGTCGCAGTATCGTAATCCTTAGACGACAGTCTCCATACCGTTGAGTTAAATGTAGATTTCTTAAGATGTAACATGAAATATGCGATTTTGGGGGGGGGGGGGAAACAGCGTCCTAGAATTCATTGAACGCCTAACGACCGACGCCCCTTTGTAAAATATTTGATAAATCAGAAACAAATAAAGACTATAATTAAAATGTTTTAAGGGTGAATTTGTACTTGTGATGTTTCACATGTAGTATCTGTGTCATAATCTCTTTAGCAATTAGTGCATGTTTGCATAAAAAGGTCTGAGAGAGGTAGAACAAAATAAACTATTCGCTTTTTCTCATAGAATTTTTCCCCGAACATATTTGTAATCAGACACAATTAATTTAAGGTTGGATCTTGTCGTTTTGGTGATGATTATTGAAGATATACAAAATATCTCTTGCCAGAGCACCGTTTTAAAAATATTTGTTGTTAACATTTACAAATAAATTGATGTAATTATTCGTTTATAGGACTGAACGGCTTCAGATTGTTAAATATTGTATGCCTGATGGTGTAGCATAAATCTCAATGATCTTGGAAAATCTAGTTAAACCAGAATTACTGACATAGCAATCGATCAATACACAGCAGAATAAGTTCGTCAATTGCATTTCGGGAATTTTTTGGAACTTTTTATAGCTCTATACCTCAAAACTAGAAAGAAAGTATTCAAAAATAGTTACAACCTAATGACAACGTAGAATTCCGAACCACGGCAAATCATTCTGAGGTATAACTTGGGCACTAAACGCTGGCCATACCAAAATTTAGGACAAAGTTAGAGCAACTGATATAATAATATGTCTGAGGTGCAACAGATACAATACTAGACTTTGAAAAATTGAAAAACCATTCGATGTAATTATTTAAAAGTGAGAACAATTTTTAACTATGTAAAGTTAAGGCAAAAGAAGAAAAACCTGGAGTAAAGTTCAATGGGAGTGATACAAGAGAATGGAATAAATGAGGACCACATGGCACTCGGCCCCACCATAACCACCAGATAATCAGGCAGCTCCAATGGTTTTCTAAGTCTTCGAGATCAACTCAAAACCAGTCTGAAACTGCCTAAATACCCTTAAAAACTCGGATCTGTAAATAGACTGACGCGAAAGTGGGTCCCAGGACATGAAGAAATTTTAGGCAACGAGGCAGAAGACATACTAGACAAAAAGGAAACCTCGAAAGCATCATAGACCACAATAAAAAGAACTGGAATCTTGGGTTACTAAAGAAAAGGGTTACTACAAGAAAAAGGAAATCGTATTCGACAGAAACGAATTAAAACCTCTAAAAGGTATATATCTAGGACAGTAAAATACTACCTAAAAATGGGATTATTAACAGATAACCAATGCCGACTCGTCTGAAGGAAACAGAGTCATCAGAGATATTCTATGAAACTGCCCTGCATCAGCTATAAAAAGACTATGATACCTACGAAACCTATTCTTGGGCAATATAGACCTAGATACTGTAATAAGGTAAGTAAGAATTCTCTATTTCATTAAACAAACAAAAATCGTCCAGAGAAACCAACAGCAGAGATCGACCAAAATAGGCGAAAGTTTATGTGCTAAAGGAGGAAATCTTCGAGGCGACAGATTCACCACTGAAGATGGTCAGAGGCCGAAAAACCAAAAATGTAATGTAGAGCAATTGGAAACGACAAAATCAACAACTTGGTTGATAAATAAATAAAATTGGGGGGCGTCGGTGGCCGCAACGGTTTAGGCGTTGACACGGCGCTCATCACTGTAAGGTAAAGGTCCCGGGTTCGAATCCAGCGGCCCTGCATTCGAACCCGACATACTTACAAATGGGCTTTTTTTCAAAAACACCGGCAACCTGAGGGTTTATATGACCTCTGCTGTTGCGAACCCTCGTAAAAAAAGTCAATCAATAAATAAAACTAGTGATAATGAGATGGATTCCGGGTATCGTAAATGTTTCACCAAAATTTTAACAAAAGAATTAAGTCATTAAATGCTAACTGTCATTTTAGGAGGAGTTTAATCATAATTAATTTAGTGTTTTAATAAATAATAATTTGCATGTAATTACCGTATTCCTAAAAGTAGCTTGAAAAGAGTCTAAATAAACTTTCCACGTTGTCCGCTGAATTATTATTATTTATTTTTTGTTTAGCCGAAACGTATCAATGGGATGATAATGTGCAACAAGAGTGCACTACACCGTCCTTTTACTTGGTCGGGAGGTCCTTCCCGCAGGAAATGGAACCAACCGGAGGTAGTTCCGGAAAGCCATTAAGTACGTCCCGACCGTGGTATCAAGTGCGGTGGATCGTGAACTGTTTGTCCCTCTGATCGTTCTCGATGTAAACTTGAAAACAGACCGAGTTATACGTAGATACTTTCTTTTTTAACTCACGGACCTTGAGGAGGGTCGATGGCCACCAGGATCCTGGAAAAGAACAATGAAAACTTTTAGTTAAATATATTTTCACCATCTTTATTAGTAAGGACTAGTTGCACTGTAGTGTAACGATTATATTGCTCAATACATAGGGTCTAACTGAAGAATACGAAGATTAATAATATAATTAATAATGCTTACATAATAATTAAATTTTTATATGGACACACAAAAATACCCAGTATCATTTGGACTAAACCAATCCAAGAAAGAGTCTAGGGTCAAGGCAGCTTAAGCGATCCGAAATAAATCCTCCATGGACTGATCCAGGATACATGTGAAAAAACATAATGAAAGAAAAATTTCGTAAGTTTGCTATCTTGTGGATCCTGTGTTACGCAGGGATAGAAGAAAATAAAAGCCTGCAGATCTACCAAAAAAATCAAACCACCGACGAAAGAAGAATATTAAATTATAATAGTGATTGCAGAGATTATGTGAATGCCTGAAACCCTTTTTAACTTCAAATTAATCTTTTTAAGCACCAAATTAACCCTTTCTAATATAAAATTAAACCTCATTAATTTCCAATTAACCTTTAAGACATTAACTTACCACTTTTTATTTAAACTAACCCTTTTTAACTTTAAATTACTCTTTTTAATTTCAAATTAACCCTTTTTTTAAACATTAAGGCATAAAAAAACTTAAGAGAAGTTATGAAATAAAAGCATGTAAAGTACATTTCTTACAATACATACATTTATATATTTGGGAGGTTTTTTAAATATAAAATAACTGGTCTTTTAAAAACTATTAGAAAATTAATTAAATAAAAATTAAAAATATATAATATAAATATAAAAATAAATAAACTAATTTTTCTTTTAATTTAGGACATGTGAAAAATGTCGTATTTAAGAGCCTAATTGTTTTATATTAAAAATCTCAAATCAGACTAAGAATAATTGGTTTCTATGTTTAATTTTATATCATTAAATAAACTTAAAAATGGTTAATTTGATGCGAAAATAAGTTATGAGTTATATAGTTATAAAAAGAATGAGTTAAATATAATTATGAAAAAAGCTATAGTAGGAATGGCAGACGAATCACAACGTATATTAAAACCATGTTGCCTCTCCAATTTTCATTCTAGATATGGTGAATGAATGTATTTATTGGCGAGGTTAACATCCTGCCAAACTCCCAATTCTATTTTTTTTTTTTTTTAATTTGTATTTTATAAGATAAAATAAGAGAGGATGGTCGAAAGACTATACGGTTGAGGTAATGAGGGTTCCCACAGCAGGCGCTATATCAACCCTCGGGGTGCCGGTGTTTTAAAAAAAGCCCATTTGGAAGTATGTCGGGTTGGAATGCAGGGCCGCTGGATTCGAACCGGGCACCTTTCGTAGCATTGATGAGCGCCGTGTCAACCCTAAACCGTTGCGGCCACCGACGCCCCAGGGTTTTTATTCTGGAGAAAAGTTTGTTTCTTTACTTAATTACTGCATAATGTATTGTGTATTTGCTAATTATTAATTTACATGGAAAGGTATCATTACGTGTGAAAAAATGTTTAAATTAAATTGGAAAAAGTTGAATTATAATTGGAAAAGTCGAAATTAAAATTGAAAAAAATAAAAAATAAACATTAGTGAATAAAATAGTCAAATACAAATTAGAAAAGCTTGAATATTAATCTGAACAGTCGAAATAAAAACATAAAAATTTGTGTAATAGATAGAAAATTTTAAGTTAAAATTTAAAAAAAGTTAAATGGAAAAAATTGAATGTTAAACAGTAAAGTTTAAATACATTTGGAAACAGATCAATTGCATGTGAAAATGATTTTGAAACGTAATATAAAATGATTAATTGTAAATAATAAAGTCGAAATTAAAATGGTAAAAATGGAAAACCAAGTTAAAATGGGAAAAGTTTAATATTAAATCGCCAAGTTTAAATTAAAATTGTAAAAGTTTAAATTAAAATTGTAAAAGTTTAAGTTAAAATGGAAATAATACATGAAAAAGTAGAACAAAATAAAAAAAAAGGTTGAATAAAAGTTTAAAAAAATCTGTATATTGACCAAGTCCAACAAAAGCGAAAAGAACAGGAAAACTATTTCTTCGTTCGTCGACCAGGAGATAATCTGTTGTTTACACTCCAAAAAGTTAATTTCAAACGTTTTCCTCCCATAATTAGATTGTTATTTTTTTCCATAGTTAAAACAAGGCGACAACAGAATCAAAGCGTTGTTTATTTGAAAATTACTTGATATGCTAACTGAAAGTGCTTAATTTTAATACGCAGATATGTTTTTTAAGCTAATCTTTGTTTAAACAGAAACACATACGAGAGCAAAATCGTAAGTTTCTGATTATTGGTGAATTGATGACATCATGTCCGATATAATTGAATTGGGTCCTTGGCACCATATAGGGAGCGAGTAGGTCGGACCGATATAAGAATTGTACCTGAACGTTGAAGCGAAAATCTGGGTCCCCTGAACCGATTTTTTGAAAGAAGGCTGTTTATTTTTAGTACTTAAAAGATATCTCATTTTGAAATTGAATGTATTTATTAATGTGAATGACAATTACGGTATCAATACTCCTTGAGCCAAAACAACGTAGTGATCATTTCGTTCTGTAAGTGTTGCTAATCTTGAATAATGTGTTTGTTGATTTTATTTTTAATAACACCTTTTACATTGAGGTATTTGTCTATTTTTATGCCACCTTAATTGTCATATAAACTATAAAGGAGTATAAAGATTTTGTTCATTAATAGTGCGTAGGTGGCCACAACGGTTTTGGCGTTGACAAGGCGCTCATCACTGTAAGGTAAAGGTCCCGGGTTCGAATCCAGCGGCCCTGCTTCGAACCCGGGACCTTTACATTACAGTGATGAGCGCCGCGTCAACGCCTAAACCGTCGCGGACACCGACGTCCCTGTTGAAGTAATTGTAATACAGTTTACAGTAACATCATCTACATCATTTAGTGTTTATCACAACCCCAAACAGCAGCAAACGAATAAATTTTGGTGACAACATACAAAGTTACCATGTGGAATGTTTTTCGATCGTAACGATACTGTAAGGGTCCTTACAACTACTATACTTACGAGACCAAAGTTAGATCAAATCACTTCAAAAGAAGGTTTCTTAAATATTCGAACCTCCCACACACATTTATCTACCGATCATTTTTAGATTCTAGCTGAAATGAAGCATTGTGAAACTCTACACCTGCTAGATTCTTCCTATGACAACATTAGTTGGCTTAAGTAATATGCAGAGAGGCCTCGAATGAGGAAAAAATCGGAAAACGTTTTGAAATAACCTTATTCACACAATGAAAGGCATCTAGACAGCGATGAATTTCTTCTTACCGTTTCTAAACGCGTGTAATTGGCTTTATGACCTTTCGATATTTCCGATAAATGTCATCTTACAAGATGATTATACACTGCTAATTCAGGCGGTTTTCCATTTATCAAACTCGAGAGATGGGGTAAAAGGTTTGGCCGCCGATTCTTTTCTCTCTTTCGCTCCAACCGAGTGGTTAAAAAACACGTTTTCAACGAGAGGGATTAGCTCCACAAGAGAAGAGGAACCGGGTCGGCGAAAGAGAGCACAAAATCGTAATTATTGACCGGTTCCACACGGCGGTTATACCAATTAATAGGGGAAAAAGAAAAATGGAAAGCTTAATTTCAAACCCGTAACTTATATTTAGATTGTCAATGATGCAATAGGTCCACTTTTACTTGTGCCCTTCTTCTTATGCACTTTGAAGTGACCATTTGATTATTCTATATACCTAATAGTTACAACATAAAATTTACTTATAAATTATTTCTAACAAGGTTAGATACGTTAAAAACTTAATTGACTAGATCAAAACTCAACTAACTTTGATTAAATTATGGATTATTTTTGTAAAAGTAAAAGTGAACCAGTTCATCATTACACTTTACGTAAGTCTTTTTATTTTTTATTTCTTTGTCCGGCACCGCTTTAGTCAAAGGGAGGAGATTATTACAAGGAGCAAGTCGTCCTTGATTAAGGGAGAAAGCATTGTAAGCAAGTAGAAGTCTTTGCGTAACCACGCGGTGACCCCACAGACATCTTCGGTTTTTAAACTCTTCCAAAAACTTCTTTGATTTATTATGAAGGTGTAATTATATTCTGTATGGTTTGAAATATACGCGGTATTTGACATTTTCAATTCTGTATATATTTTTAATTTAATACATTACTTCGGGATGTTTATACTTCTAAACTTAATGGGTTATGTATAAAAAGAAGGCAGACAACCATAGTTGATTGACTGTTAAACTGTTGGGCAACAGTTGTCGTTTTATTTATCAGGACGTTATTTTAATTTTTATATAGCATCTTTACATCATTAAACATTCTCACATTTAAAAAATTGCCAAAATAATTACAATATACATGCTAGAAATAACTGACATAAACACTTTATTTGTGGTTGAATTTGAAGTTGTGAGAAGGATTTATTCCGATTTAGATTCCTTTATAAGTATACACTTATTTTATTAATAAGGATTATCTTTTTAGGGTCAGGATAAACTACTCTCCAACCGGAGGCATCGGGCAGCTAGCTCATACAACTATAAAAACTACTTAATTCTCTTTCACAGCATGTCAACACCTCGCGATGTCTACATTCATCACTTCTCATTTTTATCAAAAACGGACTCAACGTTAGAACAATTTCTATTTGTAATAAACAAAAAATCTTTCATTTTTACCGGCAGGGCAACTTCAACATGACAGCATCCTTGACGGGAACTGCGAGAAGGCTCATCTCTAATTAAAGTTTGGCACCCGTTATACATTCTACGCCAACCGCTGCGGCCTTACAAATGCTATTAAAACATCCATCGCTGGATATCCATCTATCTAATCCATGGAAAAGCCAAAGCAGCGGCTCACAGGCTCATAATGGACAACTATCTGTAAGGGTAGGCCATGTCAACGAGCAATGGAACTGGAGGGACGCCAATACTCC